TGCTGAGCCAACAAATGTCCTTTGCTTCAGTCGACGACTGTGATTATTTTCATGTTAGTGGTGTTATTGTATTAAATCTGCATTTAGTTCACTGCTTACAAAGATGCACTCATCAATAAAATGTGCTTTACTCCTCACTGTTAAAGTGTATTTGAGCGGTCGCTGAAGTTAAGCAAAGAAATGACACTTGTCTTGCTGCTTTGGTGATAGTGGTAACTACTGGCTTTCTAATTTCAACGAATGTGCTGCAACTCAACCACCAGTTACTTTGGGCAAGATAAGTATACAGAGCAAGGAGAGGAAAATATTTCTCTATATTTAATTTTACTTTTGGGAAAAGCATATCCTCGGTTGGAAAAGATGGAAACTTCAAGTTGAGTCCTTGACATTAAGTTGCAGCAATGGTTGAAATAGATCTAGCTTAAGGCAGTGGCATTAATGTTACTTATTCACTTCATTCAATTTACCAATTGAAGTAAATCTTGATTTATTTATTTATTCAAGTGGCCCAACAATTCTTTTTTCTTTTTTTTTTTTTATGTGGTGTTTGATCCACATAGAGTTGGTGCAGTTAAAGACTGCAGTTCCTGTCTTCATATACAGATGGATGTTTAAGGTGGTGTCTGTCTGTCTGTCTGTCTGCGGCCAAAACAGGACCAGCTGAAGTTTATGACCCTGTGGTGCAGTCTGTTTTTTCAGGGTGACGGAGAGGACAGCCGGTCTGCAGGGGGCAGAGCAGGGGGGTGGGGGCGCGACATTACAGCAACACCTGGTCTGTGAGCAAAACTGGAGAGTATATATGTATACGTGTGTGTGTGTGTGTGTGTGTGTGCTGTGCTTTAAAATGTTTAGGAGCTCGTGTGAAACTAGCAGGACAAAGTTTAAACAAGATTTAAACCATCCCTATAATCTTTCAGTTCCACTTTGTTACTACCTAAAGCCATTTCTGCCATCAAACAAGTCGTGTTTTTATGATTTACAGCCCGAGCAGATGCTTCATTCTTTGCTGTGTCTGCCTTTGTTTGTATTTCACGTTGAGCTGGCTCCTATTAACTTCAGCCTTCAGTACAAACTTTCTATCCTCCCGCACCAAATCAGCTTTTGTTTTAAGATAAGGAAAGACACATAAATAATATCCACAACCAGCTGCACACACACGCGTAGACTTTACACACAATAAATAATAGAGGAATCCATCAACTCAATCCTGTCTGAAGGCATCAAAGCAAGGGAAGAAGATGAGCAATTTCCTCTGCTGGTTGTACAAATTGGAAAGTCTGTGTAGTCTCTGGGAGGGTTTGTGTTTATACCTGAAACCGTGAGGCAATAAATGGACCCCAGTAACACACACACACATCCAAACAAGCTGTCTAGTGGGCAGAGACAGGAAGTAGGCAAAGAAATATACGTCTGTAAAAGCAAGAGAAAGAAGAATGACCTTGTGGCTCAGAAGCGGCAATAATTGTTACTTTTCAGAGCTGTGGGATCGACAATCAGAAGTGCTTAACGCCACAATTGTGTTAAAGCAAGACACTAAGCTCCAAAATAGTCGCTGCACTGCATCATTAACTGGATTCACACAAGCCAATATTTATTCACCAGGTTTAAAATGGCACTTGTGCACAGTGGATAGAGCCAGCAGTGATTCTGCCATAATGCCAACCGCTGAGCTGGAGTTTGGATGTCACATGACAGCAAAACAATAAATCACGTGGATCCAGCGTTTGGGTTTTCATCTGTGTGATTTATGCAGGCAGCAGGAGGTGGTGTAGGGCCTCAACGGAGGGAGAACAGATCATACAGAGCAGAGGGAAAGAAAAATAAGGTCACAGTGAGGTCAATGCCTTCGCTTTACGTTTCTTTTCTAAATTATAGATTAAAGGTAAGGAGACAATGGTCCTATTATTTCATGCATGTTGGCTCTGATTGGCTCATCCACAGTGCTGCAACTAATAACATCCATCCATCCATTATCTATACACCACTTTATCCTCACTAGGGTCGTGGGGGGCTGGAGTCTGTCCCAGCTGACTCAGGGTGAAGCAGGAGACACCCTGGACAGGTCACCAGTCTATCACAGGGCTACACTTAGAGACAGACAACCAAGCACACTCACATTCACACCTACGGACAATTTAGAATCACCAATTAACCTCAACATGTTTTTGGACTGTGTGGGAGGAAGCCAGAGAACCCGGAGAGAACCCACGCTGCACGGGGAGAACATGCAAACTCCACGCAGAAAGATCCCGGGTGTTCTCACCGGGACGCGAACCAGCGACCTTCTTGCTGCGAGGCAACGGTGCTAAAACAGGCAACAGCGTGGGGAAAGCTTGTAAATGAGACCAACAGAGGGTACAGTTGTAAATACAGCAGCGTTTTATAAACACTTTACTGCCATTGACCTGCATCCAAACTGCATCCATTATTTTCTACTCATGTAGTTTTCAACCATGATAAAACAGGCAGAGTAACAACAATAATAAACAATCAAATGTAACTCAAATGTAACTCTATTCGTATACCAGAGCCATGATGATGAACATTTACACACACAATCAAACGCTGTTGAAAAATGCATTAGGCATATTGCAAACATTTTCAAACAATTATTATTTCCTGAGACCCTGAGGAGTCAGTCAGTGCAAGTCAGAGCTGTGTCGGAGGCGTGTACATCTAATCTAATGTTAGCCTGCCCTCTGCTGGACTGACAAACTACTGCAACTGTACAGAGACGTCATAATAGCTGCACTGCAAATAATCTGGGACTTGCCAAGATTTCAAATCTTATTTTTAGACACGACAGATAATTTGGCTTTTTAAAAAAAAAGTCATTTACCCATTTTTAGTCCTTGATTTTACAGTACAATCTTAAATTGAGCATTAAAAATCTTATTTCACGACCTCTTATCATGTCAAACTTACTTGCTGCATGGACAGATAATTTCACTAGTTTTAAGCTATCTTTTGCTCAAATTTATTACTTATATCCTATGTTTGGGCTACCCTTCTTTGCAGTGTGCTCAGTTGGAAATCGTCAAGGAAAGAACAAAGCAGCTTCATTTGACAAATTAAACACACGTATTTACAATCTTGGCTGATTTCATGATATCGTAACAATATGTTCGTCATACACATTTGTCTCCCATATCATTAGAGGAGTAAGGATATCACTGAACTACAGTGTACCTGTGACTCTTTAAGAGGTTTAAGGTTTCAGTGCGGGAGTCTGTTTATCATAATAATACAGCATTCTGCCGAGAAAACTGTGACATATTGTGGTATTTTACATCTTAAATCAACCACCACAATAAAACTCCAAACTAAGCTCCAGTTTAAACCTTAAAACAAAGTCTTAACCTTCAATCAGTCCTTTGAAGTGTTACACTGGTTATCAGGGGATACTTGAAGCTAATCTGCTCCATCATCTGATGCGGTGGTTCACTTTGAAATCCACTTACAGTGTTAAATATAGTGGCATCACACACAGATTTACCTGATGTTGAAATGCATGCTTGTGAGGCTAGATTAACAACAAACAAAAAACATATTGGTAACCACTGCAAAGAGTTTCCCCAAAGGACGAGGCTGTTAGCTTGGCGCTGTAACAATTCCTCTTGTCCTAATCACCATTAAAAATCCCACAGAACCACTCAGGATAGTTTCTGACTTCAACACACAAAGAAAAACATACTTTGTACAAAATGACTGTCCTTTACTACAGGTGCACATGTGGACAAAATAGTTGGTACCCCTAATGAAAGAAAAACCCACAACGCTCACAGAAATAACTTGAATCTGATAAAAGTAATAAATAATAATTCAATGAAAACTAAGCAATGAAAATCAGACATTGCTTTTGAACCGTGGTTCAACATAATTATTTTAAAAAATGAACTCGTGAAACAGGCCTGGACAAAAATGATGGTACCCTTAATATTTTGTTGCACAACTTTTTGAGGCAGATTCAAGTTATTTCTGTGACCATTGTGGGTTTTTCTTTCATTAACCGAGCGGTACCAGGAATTTTGTCCACGTGTGTGGATATGTCTGACTCAAGACTACGTAACCACACTCACATATCATCAAAAAGCAATTATAAGTGCACTTTTACTGGGAAACAAGAAACTCCCACATATTAAAGAAGAAAGAAATATAAATGATTAAATTATCCACCCTCTCTTTAAGTGCAAAAAACAAAAGTATTAACTTGTTGCATGTCTGTAAAAGTGAACTGAGTATACACATGTTAGAACAACAAATACAAACCCCCTATGTTGAAAGGAATGTATGTAATCCAGTAACATACTACAGGCTGCGTTTATATTTTTAATCAGTATATATAGTGAAGATGTTGACATATTTTAACCGGTGAGCGTCAAACATTGTCGTCACCAGTTCCCCATCTGACCAAATGTGAAATACAGTAACATTCTCCTCGTCTGTTTCTGAGTTATGGTGTCTAAAAACGGGCAGAAAAGTGTCCGTGCAAAACAGTGTGTGTTTTAAGACTTTTGAATCAGTTCTGAGTCTAAGTTAGTCAAGGTGACAGAACAGTCAAGGGGACGACAGATGACTCAGAACATAATGCCTCTGGCCACAGCTGCCGCAGAGGCATGAAACAAGTGGTAACAGTTCAAAATGTATGTGTGCTTTTTTTTTTTTTTGTCAACATCTTCAGACTCTGAAGCAAAATGACCAAATAGAAGGAACCTAAATATGGCGGCTTGCTGAACAACATTATGTTATGGCGGCCGTGGCTCAGGTGGTAGAGCACGTTAGTCAATGATCGGAAGGTCGGCAGTTCGATCCCGCCCTGTGACCTGTTTCATAGGCAAGACACTTCACCCACCTTGCCTGGTGTGAATGCGTATGAATGGATTGTTTGAGGTGGTGGTTGGAGGGGCACAATGGCAGCCACGCCTCTGTCACTCTGCCCCAGGGCAGCTGTGGATACAATCCTCGCTACCACCACCGGACTGAATGTGTGTGAATGAATAATTGATGGTGTAAAGCATCTCTGAGTGTCTAGAAAAGCGCTATATAAATATGATAAAATATTATTATTATAAAATGCGCTGCTGCACAGCTCACGCTGACTGCAGACAGGAAGCGCTGATCTGACTTGACAACCTTGTGACTTTTTCAATCCAACAAAGTCACAAAGTGTTTCCGCTCAGCCTGCAAACACATAATATGCTGCAAATCCTGTTTAGTTCATTTTAAAAGTCACATCTTGCCTTCTACAGTCCAAACCAGTCTTGGTGATGAAGTTCAACACTGAGCCTTCTGTCCGATCTGCTCCCAGTAACTCCTCAGCTGTGCTCTGCTTGTTGTTGTCATAGCGATCACTTTTGAAAGACTGCAGCTGTTCAGAGGATGCTCGGGGGTGACAAGAAACATGTTGTCGTCAGGAGGGTTAGTGGGAGAAATGCCCAGGCGCTTCAGACACATGCCCAGGTAGGCGTCCTCAATGTAGATGGGTTTGATCTGAGGCGAAACTCTCAAAATCTTCGCCGGAAGGTCCAGAGACATGACGTACGCCATGCCCAGAGGATACGGAGGGTACTCTGACTCAGCAATCACACTTCTTGGCATGTAGAACTTGATAAAAGGGTTTCTTAAAACGGGGCTGTGCCACCACACCAAGCCTGTCATGTAGTCTCGTTTCGGTGTACCAGGATCCAGCAGCAATTGAACTAAATTCTCGACATGAAGGAAAACATCTGAGTCAACCTTCATGACAAAGGCGGCGCTGTCGCAGTGCTCAGCCAGCCACTCCAGCATGAGCATGGTCTTGATGGTCAGATTGTGGTAGCTGTCCTGAAAGTTGCTCTGAATCAGGTCGTGGTGCTGCTGATTCTCCTGTTCGAGCTGCTCCTGCTGCTGTTGAGCGTCACTTCCTCCAGGCAGACCCACGATAAAAACAGTCTCCACCAGCTGACCCAGAACCAGCCTCTCATTTCCCCACATCGCCCGGATGGCGTCCCGACTTGCCACGTCATTGGGCGCAACAGGAACCATCAGGATCAAGAAAGGAGTTTTGGTCTTACAAACTGGCGTGTCGTCCATAATGAATTTGTAGTTTCGGGGATAGGCCACATGGTACGGCCCGGGATCCTCCCACTGGGGTTCTGCTGGTAACGATTTCCTGTGAGCCGGAGCATCCCAGACCTCTGATTGTCTGTCAGCATTGATATAGACGAAAAGGACTGCCACTGCTACCAGGATACAGATAAAGATGCATTTTAGAGGCCTCCTCTTGTTGTCCATTAAAACTACACAGAGAAAAGACTCCTGTTATTACACAGCAGCAGAACTTTCTTGGCTCATACAATTCTGATGACAACAGCAGTTCACAATTCAACTCAAAAACATGATTTCATTCTTTCAAAATGCAAAATGTGCAAAATTCTTGGCAATATGCTCATTGAAGTCTGTCACTTTGATGAAGTTTTTTGTTTTTGTTTTAATTTATAAGACCCTCTTTTCTTTTTCAGGATGCCACATTTCAGCTGACACCAACAGAGCATTGCAGTTTCATGCCCAGCCCTGTCCTGTTTTGTCAGTCTAACAAAGCTAAACTGTGTAACAGTGGCCAGAAGGTTAGGAAACACATTCTCATTTGTAATTTCTCCAGAATTTTCCGTGAAATGCCACAGTAGGGTTGTTTAGAAACATATTTACATGTTTTATATCTGGACATCTCTGTGGAAGAACTCATTCTAAACATGACAAGTTTCATGTGTATACATTAAAAATGCCATCTGACAAAGCAGTGGAGACACAATGTTTTAGTTTGGAGAGCAAATGGAGAGCAATGCGTTGTCTGATCATAGCTGTTCAGGCCATAAAGCAGACTTAGCATGCAGGTACAAAGCTTAACGGCAGACGGGTAGATCAATTAGCGGTGATCTGTTTAAATTAGGACTCTACGAAGTTGTAGAAATCTTTTACAAAACATACAGACACCATCCACTTTATTTAGTAGTGAAATCTACAATCCAATACAACAGCTCTGCCATAACTTAGTAACTTAATAATGTAATAGTTTTTGTGGATTTTGTTTGAAAAGTCCCTGCCTTCGCCTTAAGTTGGCTGGGATAGGCTCCAACACCCCCACGACCCGAGTGAGGATTAAGCGGTGTATAGATGATGGATGAATGGATGTTTGAAAAGTAAAAAGTTCTGCTTTGTGTTTGTTATTGAGGTCAAAGTGGGGGTGGTGTACCGGGCTTCAACTAAAAGTGTTCCATTCATGAAGGAAGTAAAATATCAAAAGCATGAACTGTTGATTTAACAGCTGATAACCCATTCATGGGTTAACAAAAATGGGGAACCATTCATGAAGGAAGTAAAATATTAAAAGCATGAACTGTTGATTTAACAGCTGATAAAAAATATCAGGTTCCACAGCTCAATTCAGTTGTTTGTGTTGGACTGGACTGAATGCTCAAACACCTGGTTCAGCACAGGGGATTTTCATATGCTTTGTATTTGTGATTGACGATTGTCAATAGCACATTTAAGCAGCTTCCTAATCAAACACGCTAATGTGGATTCCTTTTTGTAGGAGTTTTAGAACGGTTCACTGGGTAAACAGGCTGGTCTGGGCGTGGAACTGACGTCAAACATCGACAATGTTTCCGATAAGATCCTGCAGCTTTCTTTGTCTGTGGCTTTGAAAGACTTTTGGCCAAGTAAAATTACTGTACAGTAAATCTGTTTATACGCTGCAAACATGACACTGGTCATTTCTGTATTTTGTCACCCTCATCAAAATGTGCTCACTTTGTAGAAAACAAGACTTTGCTGTGGTCTCCAAGGTTGAGACACTTTAGAACTTTTCTACATAGTTCAGTAATCCACATCTTCTGCATATTATTGGGTTTTAATACAGTCAGATAAAAGGGGGGATTATTCAGACTGGCTGAAGTTTTTTGTTTGTTTGTTTTGTTTTTACAAATGCGTGAAATAAAATGCAAACATGAACAAACAAGAAAAAAAAAAAAAAGTATCACAAAAGCACTTCTGTGCAGCAAACCTTTTTAGTGTTTAAGGCATTTCTATTTAATAAGCACAGAGACATTTTGGATTATCAATGAATGTCAGCATAACAGCGTGACATTTAACAAGGCCTTAACATGTAAACAGGGTGACATGATGTGCATATTTGATATGCAAACTTAGATATCTGTACTTTAACTGTAGCTAGTATGAATTATCCATTGGATTGAGGATGTTTGCAAAACTTATCTAACACTAACTGACTGATCATGACTCGTTGAACTGAAACTGGGATTGTGATTCATGGAAACTAAAACTGGAAAATCTTGAATGTAAGCTTCTCTTAAGGAGGTACAGGTAATCTTTCATTCTTTACACATACCAAATGATCCTTGAAGGTTTTTAGAGGCATATTTTGACTGGTCAACATAATGGTTGAATATATCTATTTCTGGTTGACTGAACATGTAGTTTATCCACAGCTGAAGTTCAACTACTAATGTCTTAATCTACAGTATCCAAAAAGATAATGAAGATGTCATTTAAACTTTATATTGCACTCATATGTTACTGAACATACAGCCTACCTGCGTGTACTGTGTCCCCTGTCGTCCAGCAGTGGGTTCTATTTCCACCTCACCTGCCTGCATATCAGCTAAACGGAGTGTTTGTTTAGGGCGTTTGAATCCAACATGTCGAGCGGCTGCGAGCAGAAGAAGAACAGCTCTGTCTCTGGGAGTTATTCAAATGCGTGTTTCGCTCCGACAAACCCCTTTTAAACTCGTGTTGCATTACATTAAGTTTTTCCTTCATAGCTACCCCGGTGTTGTCTTAAGAAAGCCCGTGCAGCAGAACAACCCGGACCGACACCGGGACAGACTCCTGCGCACGGAGCTCCGGACAGACAGGTGAGTCCGTGTCGCTTCACCTACCTGTGACTGCTTCGCGCTGTTATTTAAAATCTCTTCCTCTCTCCGGTGTCCTCCCTGTCATTTATCCATTCTCATGTTAACACTGCTGGGATCTCAAGCCGCACCTGCAGGCAAAATGTCTTCTGTCAGTGAACGGTTCACCTGAGGTGGAGCTCCGCCCCCACTTCCTCCTCACCTGCACGGCGCATGCTCACGTTTGACTGTCAAATGAAGGCCAGCTTGGATTACTAACGCTGCACAGACCTACACAGACACATAAAAATGAATACATATGTAAAAGCCTGTATTCACTCCTCTCAAAAAAGTTAGGGATATCTGGCTTTTGGTTAAAATTTATGGAAAATGTAAAAAGTTCACGTTACAGTGGTATTACAGTTGTCCTCACATTTAGTCATGCTCTCCCATGAAAAAATAATTTAAAAAAATAAAAAAAAAACCAAAAAAACAGCTGTCACTGAAATAAATTGAAATTGACAAAACTAATAATAAATAAAAAAAATTATGAGAATCATGACATTGCCTTTGAATTGTGGTTCAACAGAAATGAAAAAAAAAAACAAAAACGACAAGCAAACAAGCATGACGGGACCTGGCTTTACATTTCCACAGAGCTCTGAGCTGTGGTCAGACACTCAAACCTCGTGCTAACAGTAGACACAATGTGCTAACACTAAGGATTGTCCTGTTGTTGCTGGGAGTGCATGAAGACTCTTGTGTTCACTTGTGCAGCCAACAGCAGAATGCTTTCATATTGTCACAACTTTAGTTTTACATCTCCAAGCTTGTAAGACTTACCAACCCCCCCCAGAAAATGGATTTTCACCACATGGGACCTTAAATTAGAGGCCCACGTATATCCAACAGCCTCATGTCTTTACTGTAATGGGTTTTCTCCACCACCAGATGTCATGCTGTGTTCAGTAACCCGTAGAGGGTCATGGGAGGCCTGGAGTATATCCCAGCTGATGCGGGGTGATGGACAGATTTCCAGTTCATCACAGCTCCTCTGTGTTCAGTGTCAGCACAATATGACAATCTAACATTCAGCTGGTAGAAAACTGAAACTATAAAAATGTGTTGACTGTGCTTTGTTTCTTCTTTTTTACTATTATTATGAAATGTACAAAAATCTACGTTTATTTGAAAATTGCACTTAAGATTATGACTAATCAGATAAAAGATATTCACCTATTATAGATTCATTTTAAATTATAATTTCCAAACTAAATGAATATTTTTAATTGGAGCCTGCGTACCACCTGCTGTAGCCCTGGTGTGTGTTATTGTGGGTTGTGGTGGGTTATTGTGGGTGTGTGGTGGGTGTGTGGTGTCTCTCTTCGTCTGATGAAGCCAGTGATTGTGTGCAGCTGACTTCGCTCAGCCACCTGTGTCAACGGCACACAGGTTAAGTGATTGGACACGAGCAGCTCCAGTGTGTTTGGCAGCACTGGAAACAGCTCGGTGTGGCTGATTGTTTGATTTATCCTCCCTTCTGGTCGGCGAGGCTCTCTGTGTTTTTTTGGTTCACTGTCTGACTTCAGGAGATGCCTGATTTTCCCGTTGCTTTCTTCTTCCGTTGTGACTTTAAGCTGTTAATAAATCCTGTTCTTTGCTCATGTTTCCAACTTCTTGTTTCCTTCTTATCCTCAAATATTTTATTTGTTGCTTTCCCTCATTTCATGGACTCTGAGGAAAATCCATCCATCCATTATCTATACACCGCTTAATCCTCACTAGGCTCACAGGGGGCTGGAGTCTATCCCAGTGAAGGTTGAAGGAAGGGGACACCCTGGACAGGTCACCAGTCTATCACAGGGCTACACTTAAGGACAGACAACCAAGCACACTCACATTCACACCTACGGACAATATTTTTTTTAGAATCACCAGTTAACCGGTGAATTGTTGGCAGGAAGCCGGAGAACCCAGAGAGAACCCACGCTGTAAACTGTAAACTCCAATCAGAAAGATCCCGATGTCCCCACCAGGACCATAACAGGCAACGTCCTTGCTGCGAGGCCACGGTGCTGACCACCAAGCCACTTTGCAGCCCCCTCTGAGGGAAATGCATCAGCAAAATATTGTAACTTCAAAGCACTTACTTTAAATGACCCTTTTGATTAGTTCCAACATGAATGGAGGTTTTGCAGCCCCTGATGACCTTTTAACTTCCTTCTTTGTGGGGAACCTTTCTTGACCTAGATTTTTGGATGTAAACTGGTTTGTGTGGGCTCCTGGCCGGACTGGTTCCTGGACTCATCCGACCTGTCGTCCTTGCTGACTGGCCTGAAGCTTTAGACCTGAGGCTCATCTCATGTCACTAACTTCAACCTCCTCGTCTCCTCTCTCCTCCTGCCCACGACCCGGAGATCATTCTTGGTGCGTCATTACAAAGGATGTCTCCGTTCCTAAAATGCACCTCAAGGATGAGGATCGAGGATGCTGCTGGAGAAGATATGAGGGAGGATGCACAGATGTACTAGTGTTTTCCACACATAAATGAGGCGCAACATGGTGCCGAATATACAAACTATGTCAGGCGCAGGGCTGGCAAATGTGTGTATATAACATGTGTCACTTTGTAGTTGTATAGTTTAGCAACACCCACAGACTCCTTTTCCCTCTTTTGTTTGTTCAATTATTTATTGCTCAGTTTTTGCACGTGTTGAAATTTGAGGCTATCTAAGAACGCCTGATACTTTTACTGTTATTTCTCATCATGTCATTCATCCAGAAAAGGTTTCAAATAAAGTTCAAACTAAACCAGAGATGGCCGAGCAGCGGGAACTTCGTTTGAGCTGAAATAACCCAAAGAGCAATTCAAATATCTAGACTCAGTGACGATCAAAGGATACCATCCAGACACAGTGACACTGTTTAGGTGTCACCAAACAAGACACTTCAGACCTCGAACGCAACTTGATATCCCGTCTGTGAATGTCTCGAATAGCTGAGGTGAAACAACAGACCACTCATTAATTTATTCACCTAATTAAAAACTAGCATGGAAACACACAGCAACTGCTGAAATGAGAAATGAGTATCATTTTGTAAGAGGAGTGCAAAAAAGTAAAGAGTAACAAATAACAACACATCAGTTTATTTTGAGGTTGTGTTCCGTTGATATCAGAGAGATGGACGTAGATTTCTCTCATGATATTTCTCAGAAGTCTTGCTATTGTAAAACATTTGTTAGCAGAAATATGAACAGTGAGTTATCTCATACCTGCAAGGGATCATTTTAACTTTATTTTTTGATTCTGTAATGATGTTCTGTTCTAACCAGTCCAGTTTGAACATGCACCAGCTTCCTCACATATCTATGCTTCATTCCACGTGGATTCTTCCTGAATGAGTCGCTATGAGACGCAACGTTTCCTGTAAGAATTCCTGCCCGGTCCAGGTCAAGACGACAGCAATAGGTACTGAGCACGATAAAGATCTGATTACACCACACCTACACTTACCTTCTCTGGTGGTGTGAGGATGTGGCTTTTAAGCACGACAAGAGGCATAAACAATTCAGGGAAAGAGCAGAGAGC